CCCCCCCCCCCTTGTTTGAAGGTCTCACTGTGCGGGTTTCGCCAGCTGAAGGACGAGGACGTGCAGTTCCTGCTGGACTCGTGCCCCTCCCTTTCCGTCCTCTCGGTGGCCGACTGCACCACCCTCGGCTCGCTCGTCCTCCGCTCCACGCAGCTCGAGACCCTCGACGTGTCCCGGTGCATCCACATCAGCGAGATGTCTCTCGAGACACCCGGTGAGGGGGGGAGGGGTGTGTGTGTGCACGTAGTCGTGCATGCCGTACCGTTGACCTTGCATCCCTTCAAGGCCGGGACGGAGCACGCCGGATTCTCNGCGCCGTGTATGTGTGGGGGGGGGGGGGGGGCAGTAAGTAGCCTTCGCAGAGTTTTTGGTTCAAGACAACATGTTGGATATAAAGCGTCCAATATGGGAGGTTGGGTTAGGGATAGGGTCTGCGCACACATACCCTCCCTGTTCTGTTTCCTCATAAAACTCAATTTCCCGTGTGGGAGGCCTGGACGAGGAGTCTATTTGGTCGCGCCTGGTCTATAGTCTGGGCCGGTTGGGCCCGTCGGGAAGCTTGTTCGGGTTGTTCTGTGAGAGCTCCTGTGTCTTGTGTGTCTTGGTGCTTGTTGGTGTTCGAGTCTGGTTGTGCTCTTTTGGGCGTTACAGGGTGCTCTTTTACTTGTGCGTGTGGTTTACTTTTTGTGGTGCTAACCTCCTTTGTCTGCGACAGATCTCGGTCGGGGCTCTCCACACGCACACGTGTGTGTGAAGCGTCGTTGTCCGGCCTCTTACCCACCTCACGATGTACGTAACGCCTCTCACTCCTCGAGCATAAGATGTTGTTGTTCATGTCCACGTTAACAGTCCATGGCACCGTCGGGACAACACCAGCCACCGGGACCGCCGTGGCGCGCAATCTATTGCTGTTCACCAGCTACCCCACGCCCCTCCCCCCGCCCCCGTGTTTTTGTAGAATTTGGTTTCAGGACGTTTTGAGGAAGTATGCATACACTCACAGACAGACTACAATACCCGTTCGAGATTCATCCATAGTCGGAAGGGGATGTGTTCGAGTTATTTGCAGTGAGTGGGGGAAAAAACGGCTGGATTATACCGTGCTCAATTGTTTTTCTCGCGTGCGTCCGTTTCGGCGCGCCCCTCTCCGCGCGCATCGGGTGCACTCCTTGATCTTTCCGCAGGCCTCACCCGGCTGGACGCTAACTGGTGCACCAAGCTCCCGGATTGCGCGGTGGAATCGCTGGTGGGGTCGTGTTTGGCACTCGAGCACCTGGGGCTGAAAGGTTGCTCGGCACTGGTATCCCCTACCATTCAGTCGGCTAAGCTCCGGAGCCTGGACCTGTCGCTCTGCGGGAAGCTGGTGAGATGAATGGGGGGGGGGGTCAGCAGAAAGATAGTAGCAGGAGTAGGGCGGGAGAAAAGGGCGGACAGAAACAGAGAAATAGAGTACGGAGAACCAAGGGAAGTTGCATGGTTCTGGATTTTTCGAGAGGTATCGTATAACAACCACATGGCAAATGTTGATTTGACGTATGCATGTCAACAGAGACCATATGCTCGGACCTCTTGCCCCCAACATTTTTTTTTTTTTTGCTGCTCGGAACACAGCCTGGTGTTATCTACCTAAGGTAGTTGTTAACAGCACACGGGACTCATACCGCAAGGGGCGCTCATATATGCAAGGTGGGATGTATTTCGCCCGAAAAGACGGGATATGGAGCATCACACACAAGCCCAGTGTTGAATGAACATGGCGAGCACATGAAGCAGTGCTCGGAGAGACGGCACTCCGGAATACATTCCGACCGATCATCGTAGATCGCGCCCTCGATAAGCAAAAACCACAGAATTTTTACATCAGTGCCGGCGGCATACGCCGCCACGCTGAATGAAGAAAAGAAAGTCCCAAGACGCATGTGGATCGAACGGGGGCAAGGAAAGCGGCAGCAGCAAGCAAGCGGCCGCGAAAGAGGCTTGAGTACGTGCTCTTGATGCGCAAGCGGCCGCATCAGCAGCCGAAGCAAGAGTGATCATGGACCGCCCACCGCCGCAGGGACCGTTTCCTGCCGGCAGCGTTCGCCACCGCTCGCCGACTCGCTAGAGTCTGCTTCTGAGCGCAAGCTCGCCGATCCTTTGGGAACGGTTCCCAAAGGATCGGCGAGTTCGCGCTCCGAAGTAGAGCCTTTCAAGTTGGAGCCTTGGGGGACACTGCCGACAGGAAACGGTCCGTGTCCATGACTGGTTTGGCTTCGGCTGCTGCTGCGGCCGCTTCCTGGCCGCTCCTGCTTTTGCAACCAGCTGATCCGCTCCTCCTGCAGGCGGTGTTTGCTAGCGGTGTTCAGAGTCCGGCGCAGACGCGGGCGTTTGCCCCCGCTTTGCCCTACTGCTCAATGTTCTTGAACAGAATAGATAAGTTCGTCGTTCGTCGATCTTTTTGTGCCGTTCATCGTCCGGCGTTGTCTTCCACCGGGCTTGGCGATACGATGCCGCCATTGTATTCCGGAGACGTTGGCGGCACCGAAGCCGAAATAGCGTCTCCTATTGCTACATCGCTTGCAGCGGTGTTATCTGGGCCTTCCGCCGCTGGTGATTCCTCTGGATGGCCGGTAGCGGTGGACATGCGTGGGGACCAAAAGTGTGGCCCGAAAAGCGTGAGGACTACATAGCGAAAATCCTCCTTCGACTGCCGTGGTTTTATCTCCAACCGGTAGCCGTTCTTTGAGTGTTTTCATTTTTTCTAGAGAACTGAAAGACCGCAAGAATCAAGCAGCGTGACTCTTCGCAAACGACGCCCAGTGATGATTTGATCGTCACCTATTCGCTGCGATCACCTTGGGGCTGTGTAGAGCTAGTCCGACCATAGATGCACGTTGTTGCTGTTGTTCTCTGTTTTCTTATCGCCGTGTGCATGTACGCCGTGCAGCCGCAGTCCCACCCAACCCAGACACAAGTGCGACGCTGAACACAGTAACTCCTGAATCTTGCCATGACGTCATAGCACAACTTGTGATGACGCCAAAATAGTAACCATGGCAACGCACCATCGCACGGCTTCCTCCAAGATACCATAACATGCACCGCTGTGATCGATTTGCTGGTTGGACACACGGCTTCGAGAACGGATCGCGCGCGCGGCATGTGCAGCGGCTAGTAGCTCCACGTGATACCGGCCCTTTCGTGGCTTATGTTTGATCGCCCGTGTGCTTGCCCTCGCGCTCTTCCTTCTTGTTTTGTGATCGCTTTTTTTCTGGCTCCGACTGACGCAGACGACGTGCAGCATATCGGGCCCGTCGCTGACTACCCTGAAGGTGGCCATGTGCATGGGCCTTAACTCTCTCACCCTGGAGCTGCCCGTCATGATCTCGTTGGACCTGAGCATGCTCGGCGTCAAGAACCTGACCCTGAACTGCAACAAGCTCGTCTACGCCAACCTTCGCGGGAGCTACAAGCTGGAGTCCGCGGTACGTGTTCGACCCCGGATCCATGAGTTGATATGCTGGTGGTATGTGATTTGTGTGCTCGTGTTCGCGTTCGTCGGCGGTGTGTTGTCGTCTGACTCCGAGCGAATGTATTTCCTCCTTCGTCGCCGTTGTTTGAGATGGCCGGTCGCTTGGCTCTCTCGGGATGGCTCTTTTGAAGTGTCTCTATCCGTAAGGATGAGAAGGGTGACACACATCGTCAGTCCCACGATTACCCCTTCGCTAGCGGAAGAGCCGTTGTTGCGTACCGCAAGCTTTGCCCGTGGGTCGTACATACCATGGTACGTGTCAAGACAACGGATATGTTGAATCTGGCACGGGTCGCAAGTACTCCCGTGAGGTTCGTCCAGGCGGATTCACGGAATGCTGTCCATGATGCTTCTTCATAGCGCTGTGTTGCGGGGGGACCAGTCAGAATTGCGCCGACCATGCTGAAACTGCCAACGCATGGCATGTGAAAATGAATGGATTGTTGACAGGATTCTAATCCTCTGCAGGTGCAGCAGCCGAACAGCGTACCAAGTACTTTGGCGGTGGCCACGCCGCAATGATTCGCTCACACAAGACTGCTGTGGTGCCGTCGTCGCGTTTGTGTCCACCTCGGCTTCATTCATTATCACTCACTCTTTGAACATGACGGCAGAAGACCTGGCCTGTCTTTGAATTAATTTACGCTCTCCCCACACTGCTCTCTCTGCATCTCCCATTCTGATATTGTCGGTGTTGGCCCTCCCTACCCTTCTACGTTTCTTTACCTTTGTTTATTTTATTTTCATCGTTGGTTCTCGCGTTGGCCCCGGGCCATGTCCTCCATACGTTGGATCATAGCGGACTTCAACGCTGGGAAAACGGAGGCAGTTCTGCACAAGCAGCAGCCCAACCCACACACGCGGAGGCACATATGGCACTCGACGCACCAATGCCAACCCCCCCTCTCCCCGTGCCGTGTACGCCGCCGTCTGCCCTTTACCCGCGTGTGCGCTATTTTGTCTTCGTGCTGGTGGCGTTGGGGGCCTAAAAAAACAGAACATCCAAAGCAGGTGTCCGGGACTTAGTGTGGTGGACCTCTGCGGCACGAAGATCAACCCGGAAGCGTTCGTCCGGTCAGACGGGGAGGGGGAAGGGGACGTTATCCAGGGTGGGGCGCCGTTACCGTGGCACACGTACTGAGGAGGAGTTTTTGAGATCTTGAGTGGGCAGAACGGGACAGCTGCTTGGCTTTTAAAGTTGCCATTCTAGAGATAAAAATACAGCTGCGGTTCATGAAGGAGGTTTACGGCTTCATTTGCAGCCACGAAAGTGTTTCTTTTGCTGGCGGAGTTTTCAAAGAGCTGCTCTCTGTAAGGGGTGTAGCCAACCTAGTACGGTGTTTCCGGGGGTAAGCAACACTGCCTGGTTTTTGGTGCATGGACGGTAGGAGGAAAGTCATCGTACGTAATGGTGCTACCGCCGCCATGGACGTTGTTTGGCTGTACGGGCGCGGCGTCGACTTCTACCGAACGTTGGGGGTACTAGATGCTGGGTTTGGTAAGGGGAGTTGGCGAACCAAGCGAGTGATAATGCCAATCCGATTCACATCTGGACGAACCGGACACTTGGTTCCTGGCCTGCGCAAGCACAAGAAGCACCAGTACCTGCAGTTTGTTTGTGCTTGGTTGTGTGTTGGTGTCGGACAACAATGACGATTGGTCTGCCTGTTAGCTCTCGGCTTGTGTCGCGGTTTTCCAACGTCTCATACCGAGCCTGAGGAGTAAGCAGCCTGTCCGTATTTGTGCGCTTGTGTGTATGTTAAGGAAAATAACGATTGCGTGGAGTTTACTGCAATAATGCGGTTGGCCTATGGGGTGAACGATTTTTGGCTTCGTGGAGACAGCCCCCCGTTTCTTCCTTCAGAGAGAGACAAATCCCTGGTGGTCGCGTCGGCAGACAGCAAAAGCCAGACGGCGTGGGTGCTCTCGAAGAGTCAGGTGTTGCCTTGATCGATGATGTGACTCTTCATGCGGCGGGTAGCCGCCATTCCTTCTGTGTACTTGTAGTCGGGAGAACGAGGGGGAGCCTGTGTTATGTATGTGAAACTAGAACATGGATGCGTCCTTCCTTGCTTTGCGTCTTATGTTAACCTTTGTGTAGCGAAAACAGGTGTCGCCGATGTGTTTTGTGTGTAGATCGCGTACAGAGCTTGCGCGTAGAGCTTTGTGCTTCCACCGCAGGTCGGAGGAACAGCAAAGTTAGCAAATGTTGTAATCGTAGAAGTAGCGATGGGCTTCACAAGTCAAGGTTGGTTTCTCCCTTCCCGCTCGCCTGTTCCTTGTTTTCAGTGGATGGGCGTCACGCGGTACCTGTGTGTGCTATTTCAAAGCCACCTCTGTCGTGCCCGGTACTTGATGAGAAGTACGTGCGTCCCAGTTGCCCAGGTGATAACCTCGGAGCCTTCTCAAACGTTGGGATCGTGAGTTTGAATCTGGGCGCATCATATGCACACGAACTTTTGAATCTGGGTGCATCATATACATAAGAACTTTTTTGTTCTTCCTGCCATGTCCAGATAGATGAGCATCAAGTGCATGTCCCTGCAGAGAACGAAGCCAGTTAGAGGCTATACACACGAGTGCCCAGAGATAGGTGGCAGGTTAATACCGATTACCACCTGCAGCAGAGGGTTTCTGTGGCAGGACAGGATTGACCTGAAACCGTTTTTTGTTCCGTGCTATCTACCAGAGCCCGCCCTGTTTGCGTTGGGTCTATCCTTCAATCGGCAATGACAGGACCGGCTAGCTGTACACGGACGGTGGCGTGCAAAGTTTTCACCTTGTTGTCAGCTTGTAGACCGTGCTCCCTGATCCTCTGGCCACCTGCCGCGGTACGTAGCATTCCCCACTACGTGGGAAACCCTTGCGACCTTCTCCATGAATTTACGGAGGAAATGATGCGAGGATCGTATTTCTTCAGGTCTCGTGGCGAGCGATATAGGCTGGAGGCCCCGACGTGTGTCTCTCTACTGAGGTTCTCAAAAACACACGCAGCAAAACGCGCGTTCAAGTCTTCTTTGCCCTAAATAAACGAAAGAGACGGGGGACACGCATGCATGTTGGCGTGTGTTGGCACGAAACGCGGACGGCCAAGACAATCATCGACTTAGTTGCATTGGAAACCTACTAGAAATACTGTCAGCACTCAGTCGCAGAAGGGAGGACAGCACGCAGCTTTCCAACCACATGAAGTTGTCATCCAGTCACTTCAGCAAGGAACCCAGCCAAACCCCGCACCGCAACCACTCTACACTACGTTCGGACCGGAGGTAGTCTCGTGATGCCTTTGCTCCGGCCATGATGTGCCGTCTTGCATCATCAGCAGCTGAAGGATTTCCCGCATAGACACTAAATAACCCGAGGCGGTCTCATGTATGTACGATGTGTTTGGTCTCCATGCCAACAACTAGATTTCTTCAGCAGAGCACGACGGCCTCCTGCTACCTGCTTGTGTCACCGGTCTGTCACCGGATCTTTGTGGCTGTTTATCCAAGGCATGGCCACCATAACAAATGAGAGAAACAGTATCCAGGAGCCGTTGAAAAGCCTGAACCACAAAATATTGCCCCTTCCCACGCTGCGCCGCACACGATGTGACGAAAAAGGGGGGG